GAGCAGAGCAGAGTGTACTGTACTCTGTAGGCATAAGGCAAGGCTAATTATCTATAATTCACTATGTTCTAGACCTGATAATACCTATGATATGATACATCACATTGTACATGCACAGTTCTAAGAGTGAACCAGCTACTAGTTGTTGGAAGTTGTGAGCTGTACAGGTTGACTTTAAGACTTTTGTTCTGCATAACTTCATATGATAATGTAGACTACATGGACATTTAGACATTCTTCAGACTATTTCACAGCAATGGACAAAACACATATCAAATGCAGACTGGACGTATTTCAGAAAGTCTCTAGGAGACTCTAGTTATGATGATGATGATGAGTCAGACCAAGGACATTCTTGTAAAATGTCCTTGGTCAGACAGGGACTCTGACCACGCCCCCTGACGGTAAATGCCCATTTAGCATTTGGGGGTGGACAATTTTGAGAGTGAGGGACATATTGATGGCAGTTCTAGGGTTGAGAAAAAGGTTGTAAAATGCAAATTGGAGGAGTATTATACAGGTGGCTGTAATATAGTATCAAGATATTGTCATAATGTAATTTTTTTTAAATTGATGTATCGGCTGTGTAGTTTCGTGTATATCCTTTCAGAAGTCACAGCCCCGACTCTATGGCAAGCAAAATATAATTCTTAAGATACAATCATGAAAATAATTTCGATGTCAAATTTTGTTTCTCATAAATAATTTTTACTTCATTTTGTGTCATAATTGTCTAATATCTTAACCATACAAAACTGAGAAGAACTAGGGGCTTCTTAGTAATCACATCTTGTACCAGAAGAACTACTCCTTAACGTGCGTGTGTGTGTGAGAGATCCTTATTAATATTCCGGTTTTGCAGGTATAATCATGTCCTTTTGTACACACCTGTACCTGAGACTGGTCATTGAGTAGTCATAATCATACCTAATTTTCACCACCGAAAACCCACGTACGTGGCACATTTACGAGTTCTATCCATACCTTGATGGTCAAAAGCCATTTCCCCTGCTCGGGAGTCGCCACAACTCCGACAGAAGACAGCAGGACGGTGAAAACACCGACGGTGATGACAAAATCGCCACGTCTTGCTGCCATTTTACTTCCCCTAGCAGACATGCGTCATGACCCCTTCCCGCAGAGGATGATGGGAGGTTAAACGTGGCAAGATGGTCGCCAACATCAGATTTTCCTGTTTACAATTTCACATTTAATCACTTTACCATGGACTGGAAGGTCTTACTCCGCGTTCCCATGTACATATGGACAGTTTGGAACGTGAGGATGCTGTATATATTCGGTTGGAGCGCTCTCGTGCTGTCTGTTTGCGGGTATAACCAGTTTGACGACAGCGTTCTGTTTCATCTGAGTTGGCCCGGTCCTGAGTTGGAGGTATGTTTGCGTGCGAAACACCTGCTCGCTTTGTTGTGTTGATTGTTCTGTATTAGTATTATTAGTGTTTGGACCAGCTTTTTGAAAAATTGTAAATTGCTTCGCAAATTTGTTTTATGCAAATGTCGCCAGAATATGTTATTGCTGCATAATTTACACTAGTAATACGGTACATGATAACGTTATATCAGATTTGATAAGTTACATAAATTATAAATGGTAGCTTCCGGGTTGTTGTTGGCATTACGTGGCAGTTGCACGTTGGTGTGTTGTTATCATTGCGTGGATCTTTTATATATCATCTACTAGTAGGTGCCCACACCTGCCTTTTGTTATCATCACCTTTGTTATGTGTTGACAGCCACTCCACGGAGTAGGGCGAGTCCAATGGTGTTAGTTCTTAGATCCCGTTCATACCAGACTTTTAAAAACCGGTTGAAACCGCTAAATAATTAGCGGAGGAAAACCCGGCTAAAACCCTTAGCGTTCATACCAGACTTTTCATAACCGGTTTTGTAAAAATCCTGTCCGGTGAATATCCAATTAATCGGGCATGACGCAGTTTCAATAACCGTTCCTCCCGCTCTTCCGATTGCTGTCGCCTTCTTGTATACCGTCTTCATGTTCATTACCTTTTACTGTGGCGCTGATCCTTAAATAAACCAGGTTCCTCCAACATGTTTGTTTCGGTAGAGCACACACCCCCCCCAGCTTTGTCAAATTCGGCGAGTCCAGCTCTCCACAAATACATAAATAAGTATCAGGAGCGTCTCGTCTGTCGACCAGGTTGCGTATGCTGATTCCATCGATCTCAAAATTAACAGAAAGCGTGGGAAAACAGTGGAAACGAACTCAAATTGGTCAAAACAACGCCATAAAAAAGCTTTAGGTCGTCCACGGCCAGGATGCTGACCCCGTGACCCCGGAATTATGACGCAAAAACCGGTTTAATAAACCCTTAGCGTTCAGACCAGGTTTTTCGGTGGAAAAAACCCTCAAAAACCCTTAAAAAACCACCTCCCGAGGTGGTTTTTGAAAATCGGATTTAAACCCCTAAAAAACCGGTTAATTTGCGTTCACACCAGGTTACATAAAAACCGGTTTTTGAAAAACCGGTTGAAACCGCTAAATATAAGTCTGGTATGAACAGGGTCTTAGTCCTTTTAGTCTTTGTTATGTAAAACCGACGTGATATCAACATCAAGTTGATCAATTATTCATTGTATACATACCTTTGTTGAAGCAAGGATACTAACGGGGGGTGCCCTAATTCCGACCCATCCCTAATACCGAACTAGTTTGAAAAATCCTTGTTGCGGCGCTGTGCATGGGAGCACGTGCCTAAAAAAAATCACAAGAATGGACAATGTTTTTGTGTTGATATCGGTAATCTCACAAAGTTTGTTTTAGTTCTTACACTCCGACAAGAGACGAGTGAAAAATCTGTGTGAATTCGACGCTTGTTCGGGGCTTGACGAGCGTGTCAAAAATGCAGGTTTTGCTTTTCAAACAGCCACTTTGGAGCATGTCGCGTAATCGTAAAAAGAGGATTTGTTTGGGACAGAAAACAGTTGTAGATTGTTGTAGTCATAATTTGTGTACTATAATTTCTAAACTCTCTTCTCAGATCAACCTGTGTTAAACACTAGGTCGGAATTAGGGCGCCCCTGTTGCGATAGAACGTTCCACCGGCAAAATGACCAAAATACTACCGTGCGTTTCGTGAACCATTACGCTTGGGTGCAAGGCGCTACACTCAAGTGAAATACACAGCTGTGCAGCTTTTATCGTTGTGATCTTTATCTGTCAATATTATATCTCATGTTGCGCGGGTTTTTGGTCAGATAAAGTATTACCAAAGGTCTGTGCGTTTGCATGGAACATAGGTCGGAATTAGGGCACCCCCCGTTACTTATTACTACATATACCTCCTTTGTTGAAGGCAGCAATTTGATTGGTTGATCGATTATGGTATGGGATAAGGGTCTCTAAAATTATAAGGGTCACTATTTAACGATTATATTATATGTATATTATGAAAATATATACTCAATGATTTTCAAACTCCTTGGCCTGACATCACATGCAAAAGGAAATATTAAACAACAGATGCTCCAGTATTTTTCAATACATGTTCAACCAACAAAGAAGGGCTTCCAAGTTCTAGTTGTTAGTGAGTCAATTACTATGAATACGAAGTCCATAAGTAAAGCTACAGCATAATATATACAACCAGAGATATGACATTAAAAAATTTAAATGTAACTTGTTTCTACATGATAAAACTATAATCATACCCTTTGTTTCCAGTCCCCTCCATCAGGGAGCAGAATAGCAGAAACCATTGAAGTGTCGACAGCAGACAATGAGAGGTATCGCTGTACACTCCCAGTGCCTTTGTCAGAGACTGAGGTAAATAATACATTTACTAAGTACTACTTTTTAAAAACAGTCCTTGACAAAGAGCTAATTAGCCTGGGTGCCAAACCCATAGCACACTTGGACACAAAGTACTAGTACATGTATCTGAGTGCTCATTGAGATATTATGTGTCCAGTGTGCTATGGGTTTGGCACCCAGGCTAAGAGCTACATGTAATAGTAATACGTGTGGTTGCAAATCAATAGTATAGTGCCATCGTGCAACATTAAGGGAAGTCATAGCCCCTATGACTATTCCACAATTCTGTTTGTCTGAATTGGGGTAACAGGGGTTAGCAGCATATTCCTCAATAAGTCAATGAGTGACGATTTATAGGGGTAAAAAACACATACAGTGTAGTGTACCTCCAAATTTTCTGAAAAAAAAATACCTCCAACTGTTTGAAGAGAATAAAGAATCCACAGATAGAGATGATATGTTCTCTTATATATAATATTTTAATGTTATTGTCATGTATTTCTGGTTTATTTTTTCATCCATCTATTTAAACTCCAGGATGCAGATGAGGACTACGTTGGTCCCAGTGCAGCAGAGTTGATGAAACCCATCTACAAGCAAGTCAGCTGCACCTATAGGGTAGGGCCAGAATGACGGATTGTACAATTTCTAAACAGTTGAAAACAATTAAATGTCATGACGGAGCTTATAATTTTGAATTGTATGTTTCTCTAGAGTGTTACTGTTTAAATAGCTGCTGTGGCAATGGGGTTTAAGTGCAGTGCATACAATGTCATGTACCTGAAGTGCCCATGTGCTTCCTTCATGATTTGTTGATTGGGTGTACATTGTACTACTACTATGTACCTGACTTGTATGCCACACTTCCTTTACAGATAGAGACCTACTGGACTTATGAACTGTGTCATGGGAAATACATCAGACAATATCATGAAGAAAAAGAAACAGGAAAGGTAAGAACAGGGAAGACATCATTATTTTATTTACTAGAACATATTTAACATATGGCTCATTTCTTGGTTTAACCAAGATATAACTAAGATCTCTGAGTGATGTCTTTTGATAAATATGTGTCTTTTTCGTGAATAACAATATATTCTTTTTTGCAATATTGGATTTGCAGAAAATAAAACTGCAAGAGTATTATCTGGGAAGATTTCAAAGTGCAGAAGGTATGTTACAAACCGTTTGGAATTATAATGTGTATATTTTCCTGTCTGATATTGTGAGCCTTACGAATCTTGATATTTTCCATCACCATCCTTTACTGTTTTCTTACTTATAGCACACTGCTGATGATAACTGTGTGGTTGTTTTTTTTATTGTAGATACACAGAAGCCGCCTCCTGAGGAAGGAAAACAGGGAAAAACAGAGATGGTGGGTACCCGTCACAGCAATCATTAGCACTGTAGAATATGTGTTTCTTTTTGTTTTATATAAGTTGTAAATTAGCCTGCAGATATAACACACTGGACTGTCAGGTTTTATCCACCTCCGCCTGGAAGGACCTCTACACTTTTTGAGAAGTGTGTGGGATCTTTAAATTATTTTAATGTCCTTGATGCATGACTGTCCCCAAAACAGGACCTCCAGCCTTACGTCCTATCCGAGAGGATATCCCTAACCAATGCTACTAAGGTGCTCATTTTCAGTCAAGTGAGGAAATAGGTGTAAAGTGCCTTCCCAAGGACACAACATTGGAGACTGGCAGAGATACGAACCTAGAACCTTTAGGCTAAAGGTTCTGAGTCAACAACCCTAACCACAAAACCACCTTACTACCTTGCTTTTTATCCACTTTTCAAATCACTGAAAAAACTGCATTTTTGTTCCTATTGATACATTCCAGGTACCCTACAGAAAGCTGGATGGCGTAGACATGCCATTCTTCCCAGAGTACATGGCGGATGGTACGCCGTGTGACCTGAAGTCAGGGGTGCCCAGGACGGCGCTCCTCCTGTACATGTGTCACCCCGACTCCAAAAACGAAATAGTCTCTGTTGAGGAAGTGACAACGTGTGCCTACGAGATCATCGTGTTCACCCCACTTCTCTGTCAACACCCTGACTACAGGTGGGTTGACACAATGAAAATGCTGCAAAATGTAATTAGCTTGCCTCAATCTGGGTAAATATACTGCTTAGTCCTTTTTTTTCTAGTCCTTACTCAGAACATCTATTTACAACAGAGTTCTGTGTATTTAAGTCTTTTACTCTGTTCTGTTTCCATATATTTTGTACTCGATCCAGTTTGTTTTTGCTTCACATTTCGTTCTATTTTGCCCCATTTCACGCTTTCTGTACACCCACTACAGGTGGGTCATCAACTATGTCCATTAGTGATGAGTGATTTGTAAAGGACTGAATACTGATATGAATTACTTAATCCCTTTTTAAGGGTTTTTGATAGCATCCTGGAGCTCAGAGCAGATTAAAGAATTTGAAGCATTCTCTCTTGATAAAAAAAGGGGAAACTCTCATTGCATTTCCATCAGGTCATCTAGAATATCACAGAATTTCTACTAAGTTAAGATGAACCCGTTTATGATTTGACCTCAATATTGCAAGAACTACCCGTTCATGAGAGTGAAACTTATTCAGGGAAGGTTGTATTTGATTCTTGTCCTGAAGCAGTAAAATGCTTTTTTCTTGATCAAGATTTGTTAAATTTCTGCCTATAATTGTATTATTGTGCACACTGACAAATCAAAACTGACAAATCAGAGTGATAGTTAAAGAAAATTTCTTGATGCCCATTTTTTAATTTGCTTTAATAGCCACTGTATTTTTTCTGTTGATCAGACAAAAGGACACGCCTGTGAACGACATCCACTGCCATGCCATTCACGACGCCCCCATCAAACCCAAAATCCTACAGCAAGTGGAGAGAGAGGCACAGCAGGCACAGACTCAGACCCAGAGGGTAAGTCTCATGTAGTAATATCCAAAGTACAGCCACTAGTACATGTATCAGCATTTGATGGTGCAGGAGTAGCTGAAATATCTTAATAAGTTAATTGAGAACTAACACAAATTTTGGGGGTGTGTGCGCGCTGTAAAATAAAGTATCTACCTGTTTGGTATACTTAGTAGTCGTAGTAGTACCGTTGTAGTAGTCTGTGTAGACTGTTATGGGTGTTGGATTTGGTTAATACAAAGGTCTGTTTACACCTACTTAGTAATGACACCTGGCTGTTCAGCCTGGTACTACAGTTTGATGCTAACTGAAATATTACATGTAACACAAGGACAATCTAGGTGCTGGTCACAGTCACATCAAGTGGGCCTCTTTTTCTTTCCTTCTTTATTGTGTTGTAACCAATACA